TCTGTCCCCACCCTGGGAGCAGGACCAGCCTCGTGACCCAAAGCCACGGCCTGGGAGGCTGGCCTTGCTGTGAAGACACCGGGGACACACACAGTGTGAGGCCACAGGACAGGCAGCTGGGACACATGCCCCGTGCACCAAGGGCAGGGCCCACACCTCCTCCCCACACTCACCTCCTCCCCACTCATCTCTCCCCACACTCACCTCCTCCCCATACTCATCTCTTCGCACACTCACCTCCTCCCTACTCACCTCCCCACACTCACCTCCTCCTGGCCCCCGGTCTCCCGCTTGCTCTCCTCTATGGCCATCTGCAGCCTCAGGTCATCCCCACGGCGGATCCGCTCCTCCTGTTTGGGCCAGGAAGGCAGGTGGCAGGGGAAGGTCAGTCTGAGTGGCCCGAACCCGCACCCTCTCCCCCCGGACAAGGTGACGGAAATTAAAATGGGATGCGGACGTGTGGTGGGTGGACAGGACACGGGCGGGCAGGCGGGTGAGGACACTGCCGGAGGGCGGGAAGCACAGGTCTGCGGGGAGGAGGTGACAGGCCCGGATGCCGCGGAGGGAGAGGCCCTCGCTGTCTGTCTGTCTGACACCTGAGCGGGCGTCACGGGGCTCCGTCCCACACAAGGTCCACGGCTACAGATGCTGCGGTGCCAGCGTGCCGGCTAGCGAGGGCGGGGAAGATCGGAGGCGGCGGGACCGGGGCGCGTCCCAGGGCCTGCGGGCGGGGAGGCTCTCTGACCTTATCGTGCTCCTCTCGGCTCAAACTAAGGGCCAGCTGGAGCTGGACGTCATCCTCGGGGCCGCAGGACGGGGGCTGGGGGAGAGACAGTGTGAGGGGCGGGCGGGGGAGGTGGCCGAGAGAGAGCGAGAGCGAGAGAGCGAGAGAGCGAGAGAGTGAGAGAGAGAGAGGAGGCAGACAGAGACACAGCAAGAGAGACTAAGATACAGATTGGGAAACAGACAGACAGACGGAGACAAAGGGCCGGGTCAGACAAAGCCAAAGACACGGAGAAACGGTCCCCAAACTGGGGAGGGGCAGGCAGAGCCAGAGGAGGAAAATTCCATTTGCA